GTAAAAAAGAAATTATAAATTATGTTATTCAGCTCCTGAGCTACAACGCCGATAATTTACGCGGTCCCGAAATTAAGCCATCGTAAGCCGAAACGAAACGTTACACAATGGCAACTTCCAATAATTTAATTACGTCGGCGGCGGCATCGAACGTTTATATTATTTTCTTACTTTACTACATATGTAAGTACTTAGGCTGTAATGCAGTTATGTGACAGTCAGAATAGTACTATTCCGTACCGATTAGTGCTTATTGCGTAATAGTACCTATTATTAAGGAATCTTTCAATCGGTTTAATAGACAAAATGTATTCTTATTTTAACCCGACTACGGCGAAGTGGAAAGGAGGGTTATAATTTTGGCCGGTATGTATGTAAGAATATTCATCTGTTCCCTTTTAACTTCGAAACTACTCATCGTAACCGGACAAATGAGGTATCATTAGAAGCGTCTTAGTTGTCCGCCTGCTGTAGGATATGTAACGATACATTTAATTGGTGACGGAGCCCTCTAGAGTAGTAGAGCATAAAGTAAGAAACTAAAATAATATATTATGCCACAACAGTTTATTTTGTTATGATCAGTGGCATACGACTACTCTGTACTTTGGTCATCGCTATGCTATAAAAATATAGCTATCGCTATAAAATTTAATGCTTGTTTCAAACTTTTGAAAAGTTTGATTTTTAATTATGAATACCATAAGTTAAATATTATATGTCAAAATCCCTTGTTTTTAAACAAATAAATTTGCTACTGTCATTAGTAATCATAAGTTAATTTCTTTTGTAGTCACATATTTAGTTTTACAAACAAATCGTTATGCTATCGTTCTAATCCAGATAATATTTCTTGTTTGATCTTTTGCAACGTCGTCAATACAATATTACTTAGCGGAATTCAAGTAAACACTGCCAGACTCATTTGTTGTAAAGGGATTCCGCTATTAATAATTATCATACGTATATACTTAATAGGTATAATCAGATTATTTTATTATTTATATGTATATGTAATTTTTTCACACAAAAACATCTAGAAACTTTAATATTTGGTGTTGCTCATAATTTTATTGTACATTAATATTATTTAATTTTTACAACCAAAGAGCCACAAAGCCTAGAAATTTGATAAATTAATAAGGTGAAGTAGTATGACACTGAAAATACAGAAGCGGTACATAGTCAATATATCTGATATAAAATTTTGATAAATGTCAAATTATATCTTAGGTCATAGGGCATTGCATTATAGGTTGTGTCACAATATTTAATATTGCTAACATGCAAACGATGAGATTCATAAAAATCCAGTATATAAGTATAAGTATGATCGACACCAGGTTAGGCGACTAAAAAAATTTTTATAAGACTGTGATTTTTTTTTAGTTTTCTGCAATCGATTTATTACGTGACACATCATAGCGTGTGTATTACGTTTGTAATGAGTCTAAATCTTCTCTTTTATAATCAATTCTCCCACACAATCTAGTTTTACACCACTTTTTCGATATCAAAACGGTCCATGACAAATATACTTATGTACGCCGACCCCTGCCAGGTAGGACCCACTTCAAGCGTTATCAATGAGCTTGAACAAATATTTCACATAGCCCCGTCCTATTTTAATCCTCTCCGATGTCAAAAAACAAATGTATTATTCTCAAAAGATTAACAGATTAAAATAATGCGTACGAGATGACGTGGAATCTCTAATACAATCTAAAATGTAAATATTAGAAGTTTTTATCATTTTTCAACGAGACTAATCCAAATGTACCGAAGTGGAATAAAAGCCATCCAAGCCAAGTTTATATTTATTTTAATAATAACAATACAAACATTACCAATATGTATGTGATATTATATAATTTTTATTTAACGATTGCCAACCTACAGTGGTATTCTGTTAAAATACATCGCCGAAAGAATCATCGAGCACAGAGTAGAGATCCAATCAAATAGAACCTACTACAAAATAATAAAGTTTATTGGTTTGATCCTCTAATATATGTAGTTTTAAAGGGAATGCTGTCATGGACATCCTGTCATGGACCTTATATTTACCAAGTTCACGATATTTGTGAAATATTAGTTATCCTTTAATGCTGCGGCAGCGCTGTATTTTAAACATAATAGCAAATCTGATCATGATTTACTGCAGCTGTTCTAATAGGAAATATTTCCCACATCAAAGCATTTTCTCAATAATATGTTAATTTGTAAAAACCAGTCCAATGATTTTTTAAATATACCTGTAACTTACCATTAGAAATAGAAGATGTTTGTTCTTAATATAGTAATAGCATATATTCATAAATGTCGTTGTTCGAAGTAAACTATGTTTATTTAAAAAATATACAGGTTTCTTCACGTAGCTGTTTCTGCGAATCAGGAAAAAATATAAACCTACTTATTTATATAATAGTCATATAAAATTAACAGATATTATTGTGATAAATTGTGAGTTTATTGAGTTTTAGTACTAGGTTATAATATTCACGTTTATATTATTAAAGTAAATACTTCACATTTAATTTAAAATAAATCAATATTTTTTTCTTATGAAGTTCATTGTGGTTACTCCACCTAAAGAACGTGTGACGGGTTCGATGCTTAGGCAAATGAATAAAATGCTGACTAAGCTTGAGTACTTGATTTATTAAGGGGTAACAAAAAAAACCGTTTCTGGGTTTTCCGTAATAGGTAGAACTTAGAAGATATTTCGCGAAGATATATGTTTACATGTTTCTTATTTGATAACATGATTAAATTATCATGTTCTCGCCGGATTAATTTTTTACGAAGTGACATTCATAAAGAACAAATTGCATTACTCAAAATTCAAATTACGAAAAGTGAATAAGAAAAATAAATGATGTTGAAGATCAAAGACAAAAAGTTTGCATGCGGAAACCTAGGACGAAATAAACGGTGGTACGACGCTTCGTTACAAACGTACATTTTTTTTTTATGTAGAACGAATGCCACTCTGTCGCATTGCCCTTTTAAATACTATAATGTAGTCTTCTATTTCACTGTGAGCCAACTCTGTTTGTTTGGAATTTTCATAAAAAAAGAAGTCCTTATAATTTTGTTACAGTAAATTTTTTTTCTACGATAGTACCAGAAAACGGGATTTTAAGGAGTCGAACTAGCGTTTCAAAATTTCACATAATTTCGTTTTGCAGGAAACAAAGAATTGATATTACGTTATAAGTTTTCAGTATCGCACGAATAACTACGAATCGAATGTGTGTCGAGCACGAACGTCAGAATTTGATTTTCACAGCGCTGCCTACCTCCGAAACGAACTAGCATTTCCACTGAAAAAAAATTGTCATTTTTACTCGACACAATGGTACAGAATAAATTCCAAAACTGAAAAATCACACGGAAAAGTTCAAAAGGAATCTTAGTAAGAGACGCAGTTGCTACATATCTTTATTTGGACGCCGATAAAAAATAATGTTCAACATTAGGGGAAGACTTAATTTAAATATTTTTACAGGCGCAGCCATCCCACTTCCTTTTAAGCGGACCTCTGTAGTGTCATCTCTTTCTAAAGAACGATGATAATTCAAGGAACTAAATGTCTTTTTAAGTGAGCCCTTACAACGTCTGAAGGCTTTTTTTTCTCCTTTAGAGTAACGTTATAGGGTTTGATCCATTAGAAAAACGAGGTTTTTATAGCGTTACGGAATGCTCAATGAATTTGATCCTTGTAAGTATAATATCGAGATAAGTGAACATGTTTTCGGGTTCGGCAAAGAAATTACATGCTTGAGTTTTCTATTATACCTTATAAATTTAGAAATTTGGATCTTTAGAGAAAAGTGGCTTGACAGAATATGTCAAATTGGATAAAAGTTTTGCTTGGATATAATATTGGAAATCTGAAAGCCATGAAGAAACTATTAAGAGAGCAAGTCTAAAAGCTTTCATTTTTTTTAATAAAGTTCGCTTGTCTCGTCTGTCTGTTTGCTTTCTGCGTAAAGCTGCTATGAGAATGTAGGTTGTTTAATATCTTTTAATGATCCGAGCCTATTTTCAAACAAATGATATAAATAATGGGAATAAAAATAAAATGTCAATTAATCGTCTATAAAATAAACAGATTTAGAAAAAAACCTTGTATAAACTATGCTTTGTTTTTGTTTGTTTATATCAAACATTTTAACATCACCCTTAATAATCTCCAGACTACTTAAAAATTGATAGGGCTCTCATATTAAAAACGGCTCAAGTCATAAATTTATAAAAAAGAGGTCGAACCACAAAAAAAAAACAAGAATGAAATCGGTGAACCCTTGTTCTCGGTACCACCATGTGAGGGCGCTACTATCTGATTTATGGTTTCGTTTTTTTGGTGATTAATTTTAAATTAGGTGTTATCTATAGCAGGATGCATTAATTGGGTATGTTCTGGTAAATTTTTAGTATGTTATATTGTTATGACACTTTTAGGTATAATAACTTACCTTCAAAGATGAATCGAATAAAATCTTAAAATACAGATTATGTCAATATGTAAAATTTTTGCAGCTTCGAGAAATTTGACAGTTTTATATAATTTAACTTACTGTTGAGCGTAAGTAAATCATAACCTTTTCATTGATAAACTTTTTTAAGTTACTCTTTATCAAACATCAATTTTAGGACTTCCTTCCTTACACTCAATATATATTAATATAGTGAATGCAAAACAAATAAATATTAAATAACATTACATATATTGCCAGATTGCAAGTCTCGTAGTTTATCAGTGTCACTGTATACTTTAATAAATTTAAAATAACTCTATGAGGGGAACGGCTCTAACACAATCTAATTTAATGATTTTATTATATTTTTAGGCAAAGGAAAGGCAAAGAAAGTATAATATAAACAAAACTATGAAATTATAAATACTACTAATATCACAATTTTATTAAATCGTAAAAAAATACAAAAAATTAAATCTATATTATTAAACTTAAAGGTTAAATTTGACTTTGTACAGTTAATTAGGAAGTTATTATTTATTAATTAATCTTTTTCATTAGTTTCTATTCGTCGTGGACAGCATGCAGGGTAAGGTTGCGTTAGATTACCGATTTTGTAGAAACCAAGATCAGTCTGCGATGGACATCTGGAAAGGAAATTATTACGCATATTAGGTTCTCATCAAATTGTAACAAAAGTCATACATGATAATATTAATATAGACCGCCTAAGAATGTTGATTGTTTTTTAAAGCCCGACTCCTGTAATACCAAGTTGCCAAGTTTAAAATAGCAACCCTGCGCTCCATTTACCAAAAGGAATATGGTTACACTGTTATTAACTTATCTTGGATTAAACTTATCTTGGACTCTAAAACAATGCTAGGCGTTACTGCCTTGTGTTAAGTGAACTGAATATTTCATTAAGTATTTTCTATGTTGAGAAAAACCATTACTAGAACACATCAGATGTTAAATAATGTATTGTAAATTCATTTCTTAATAAAAAAAATATAATGATTATGAGACAAATGAGATTTAAAAATGGTTAAAATATGTATTTCGATATCCATAATATTTACATCTCTAAGCGTGTTTGAGCTCTAAAGGCGCAGTCCTTTTTATGTGTAAGATTATCTCTTTACTCATTAAAATCTTTCTTTTACACAAATATTCTTAACAATACCGATGACAAATAAGTTGAAACAAAGGTGTTTGGAAGAGCCATAAAAGGGTTTGAAACAAAAAACTCAGTGATTGTAACATCTGCTGAGAAGGGCTGTTCTTATTTTACACCTATTTATCAAACTTTTTTTGTGTGTACATTACTGAGCACCCTTAACAAGAAGGCAAGTTTTTTTATACTATTACATAAAAAAAGAGTGTGTTAAAAACCTTTTTCAGATTAATTTTTAGAAGTTTAAAGCAGAATTTTGAATCAGGTAAATATAGTAGAAACATGAACTTAATATCTGATGAAGACTACACCTATCTTATTATTTTTAGTGGTGCTTACATATTGTGTAGCTATTACTAATATTAAATCTTCAAGATGTCAAGATTAATTTTCTTACAATTCTAATAATAAGAAAAAAGCTAATAATAAGCTGGAACATTTCCAAATAGTTAAAATTTAAATAGATTATAATAACATAAAAACATTCTAAAAATTTCATTGTTTAGAGTACTCACGTGGTTTTCTCTACATACACCTCAAGGTCTTCATCGAATTCAATTTCTGTTCTATTTAAATTATCAGCATCACGTTTATCTCTGTTGAGATCATCAAGTTTTAATACTTTGCCAACTCTTTCTAACTTAGCTTTTTTTCTTAACGAGAACGGTTTCAGTAGTTTTGCTTTTTCATCGAAATGTGCTTTAATTTCTTCTAAAACGTTACTCGTAAGGGGATCCGTTTGCCATTCCGGCTTATTCTTGCGCGCTAGTTTAGCTTGCTCAAATAAAGTATCCATCAATTTTGTTTTTATTTGCCCGTTTTGCATATTTGCGTTATCGTCTTTATGAGGTTCTAATTCATCATTTTTGTGGGTTTCTCTTTCTTTGTTACTTGTGTATCTTTTGATTTCTGTATTTTGATTCAATTCACTTTCCTTGTAAGTTTGATAAGGTTCTGATTCTATTTTGATATCATACGTATTCTTCGGTGCTTCATGCAAATTAGCTTTGAAATATTTTTCATTGTTGTCATTTTTTTTATTATTAATGTTAAAATATGACCACGGTGAACCGTCGTAGTATAAATTATATGGATAAGTACTCATATTGTAATGTTGAATGTAAGAAAATGGATAAGGAAGTAACATAGAAGGTTGTATTACTTTTTGAGTTTCAACTGGATATGCATTTTTTACAACGCTATTGTACAATTTTGAAGGTTGATATTGATAGTAAGAAGTGACAGGTGGTTGATAAGCTTTTGACGGATCGGTAACCGGGTAATTTGGATACTGCATGCTTTGACGACATGGAGTCTGTTCATATCTTACCGAATTTACTAGAGGGCTGCGGGTGACATGCATGTAAGAGTTTTCTCTTTGAAAATTTGATATTGGGTAATGATAAGGCACAGCTCCAAAATCGGACTTAGACAAAACACCTTGAAAATAAGAATTTGGATCCATTGTAGATCTTTCAGTTACTGTAGGATACAAATTGGTTCCTTGAGACTCCATATCACTACCGGATCCTGCTTTGTTTAAACGATTTAATGGTTCATACCAGTAACTTTTGCCACTACTTTCCTTCTGTTTAGTTTTTGCTGCTTTTAGTGTTTCATCAATTATATTCTCAGATGTTATTTTATCCATTTCCTTATAAATGTCTTGTGCTAAGTTGTAAATGTCAACTATTGCTTCTAAATCACTCTTTTTGACACTGTGCAATATATGAGTAATTGTTTTTATTTCACTTTCTGTTAAATATCTGTCAGTCGGTTTAGAAGATATTGATTCCATTTCTTTATCATTGGATTCTATTTTTTGTAAATTAATATCATTTTTTGTACTGAATGTAGATTGTTTAGTTGATAATTCTGTAAATAATGTTGGATTTACTGTAGTAATATTTGGTGTGTTAGGAGATTTTTTCTGTTCTGTTTGGATGCCGCTTTCATCTGATTTCCTGGCTTGAGTTTTTTTTGCTATTGAATCTATCATTATTTCTCTTAATGGTATAACGGGTTTTACTGTGTCTTTTTTTCTAAGCTTACAAGAATAATTTCCACAAAATGTTGTAGATGGCCATGTACTATTAACTGGGTACAATTTGCCTGTGTCAGGATCTCTACAGTAATAGCCTGAAAACGTAAACGAGTCCTCATTAGTTGATAGATGTTATTATTGCGATGAGTAATTATGAACGAATCAATTATTCTTCTATTAGTATTTTAAATGTGATAGTAAAGATTTTTTTGTTTCTTATTTTGTAATCGTATTCTGCTAAAAGTTTTCTCAAGATTGCAATTTGGAAGACCCTGACGAATTAATTGAAAAAATAAACACACTTTAACTATTCTGTTTGTAATTCGTGACAATGTATGTATCAATTACTCGACAATTTAGGGAGTAAGCGATCGGTTAGTAGTCAGAATATCTCGAACATGAGTTACATAGCTATGTACAAAAATACAACTCTATATAAAACATCATTTTAAAAATATAATTCATTGTAAGTTTATTTGTATATTACAACTTTTCATAATTTATATAAATGGAAGAATAAAAGGTGTTTTATTTATGTTAAGCTTATAGGATTAAACATTTTATTTTGTTATATCAATATATTTTGTTATAAAAGAGTAGACATATTAGATATATGAGAGCGGTTTGAGTCGCTCAAATTGCTCAACATTGCAGCAGCAAGCATTGTATTCGTCGTATAAAAATCGCCATATGATATTGATATTATTATTTGCTAGTGACATTGTCGGAGTGGTTGGTATAGTTAGAATGTTATTTTCTTAGGATATCTATTTTACAAATCATATTGATACAAACTACTGTGATTTACAGAAAATATGGCAATCACAATACACGTGTGTACGTGTATCGCCCCACCATCTGCGCATGCGCTGGCTCATCATTCAATGTATTATCTCGTTTTCACACTCTATGTATGTATTTTATTATGAAATGTTTTCTTGTACAAACGTATAGTAAAATTAAATAAATATCATACTAACTTAAGGACCAAGTAGACTTTTTAAGCATTTTGTATTAATAATAACTTAAGGAATACTACTTCTGTACCAAATTTCATTAAACACGATTCAGTATTTAAGCAAGAAATTATAGACAGAAATACAGACAAACAGTGTTGCTTTCAATTTATAATATTAGTGAGGCTCTACGTTCCATTGGAGTTGTTGTTGTGATATAAGTAAATACAAAATAATATAATTATGTAAAAAAGAACGTTGTGCAGAGAAACAAGTATTTCCATTGAACAGTTTTTGAGTTAAGTGATCAGTGGAATAAACGGTTATATTGTTATATACATAAGGGTTTATTCATTTATAATTTAAATATTATGGTATACTAAGAGTAAATCAGGTGAAGACATAGAAGAACATTATTTACTTTACCCAAAAAGAGAAAAGAGATAGCAATAATATTGGTTAAATAGTCTTCAAAGGTATGCAAGGAAATGTGATTCATACACACAACGGATCAAACATCAACATATCTTGTTATAATATTAGCAATATTGTATGTATTTTGTCGGATAATAATTTTAAACAATTATTCAAATTGAGGTATAAAAACAGAAAAATACACACCTTTTCCAGACAAAGCGGAAATTCCAACATAGCAGAAAGCGAATATCACAAGAGTCCAATATGCCATTATTATAATAAAGTTATAGCCCCCGTCGTATGCATCTATATGTTGTTATTAGACGACAGCCAGCCGAACACTGCAGTTTGCACTGTTTGGAATTTATTGTTATGAATTTTGCATCGTCCGCTTTACCTTCGCTTCTCAAACTTTGCATATTTACGTATATATTAATTTTTTTACCGGCACAATTCAATTAAATAACTTAAAAAAATAAATCTTCATCTATTAATATCTTACTAACCCAAGGGACCATTAGTCCATAACAATATAGACGTGATAATAAACTGCATGTAACTTGGAGGCGAAGCAAAAGGAGTTCTCTATGTCAAAAGAAGTAGGTCAGTAACACTTTGAATTCAAACAGAATATTGTCATTTTTTGTTCTACATTATATAACTTTACATGTAACAAATGTTTTAGTAATTTCAAGAACGAGGACCTTCATTACACATTGATAACGAAACTGAGCAAATAACGTGCGAAAATGTGCCAAATACTGATAATTTATCAACAATTGGAGAGCAACTCCGTAAATATCCGAACCAGAATTCGAAATTACTCATGTATCCGAATTCATGACTTTTATGGTATAAATTCTATTGGTTCCATTTTTTGTATAAAAATACAAAACAAAATTGATTGATTATACGTGTTTCAGATATTCTATCACTATGTCATTTCGAAACTCACTTCGCTTATGTCAGGATTCGTTATTACCAATTCAAGGTTGAAGTGAATTCGAAATTCGAATTCGGGTTCGGATTTTAACAGGATCGCAGGGCTGGGCTGCAATTTGAGATGCGGTATAAAACGCCAATAGATTTCTTATAGTTGACTTAATGACCCTCAATTTTAAATAACATGCCATTTATAATAATGATTTTAAGTGCTGATTCTGGTTAAAAACAAAAGCAATTGAATTAATTCAAATTGTTTTATTTAACATATCTGGCGAACTCGGACATGTCAATGCTGTTAAAGGAAATTAATACAAAAAGATTGAGTATAACTTACTTTTAAGCAAAATACTGAAATATTATGTTTTTTATATATTTCGGTTATTTTTACATAAAGGTGAGGTTTAATAACTTTATTAAGCAGATTTAAATGATTTTGCTTAATTTAAAACCAATTGAATAGAAACTAGATTCACTTACGATTTACCTTTACATTCCATTAATATTTTTGATAATTAACAATAATACGGACACAACTTTGAAGCTAGTTTGTCATAAACTATTCACAGGGTCGTTTTACAATAAAAGCTATACGTGAACTATACAAAAAGTCTAGTTAATTTCGAAATCTAGAGCCTCATGCCGAAAATGGCAATCGACGGTAAGGATGCTTTACTAAGACGCCAGGTCCGCCTATGGGCGGACTAACTCAAATGTAATTGCTTAACATAGTTATAGTTTTGTAACATATTAATCAAATTAATCTGGTTGTTGGATAGTCTATTTCCTAAAAAATATTTTCTAGTTAAATTGGGCTATTCCCAACTTAGGCTAATACAAACGTTGATCCAGTTAAATATTTTTTAACATTAAACTAGAATATATCACATATTTTTAACTTTAAAATTAAAACAAAAATCCTCCGTTTCATTCAACATTCCAATCAATTAAACAACTTTAAAACTACTTCTTTCATCACACAAAAGACTTTGTCCGGCAACAATAAGCGTTCGATAACTCAATTATTTGGATTCTACAGGGAGCTTTCTTGGGTCCGCTAACTTTCCCCAACAAGAATTGCACAAAAGAGTTGAAAAGTTGGTCGAGCTCGATTTGTAAGATGTCGCGTGTATTTTTGTATTTAATTTCAAATTGTACAGGTAACTATTGTTCTTCTGAATATTAACTTTGATTAATTATGTATTGTACTGGCAGTTTTAATATTATAAAATTTAATCTCAATTTTCACTAGTGCACTTTATTCAGTGGCGTGTTAAAAAAAAACAATTTTGTTACAATATTTGAAAGAGAATCATAAAGCACCACAGCCAGGTTTTAATCTATGAAAATTGTTCAATAATTGTGTAAAATTGCTCGTCCTATTAATTATTCACTGCCATTAAATTCTGTTGTCAATCAATTCGAAACTTTAGTTCTGTACACGGAGATTTTACATCACTTTGAAAACTAAAGTTCGCAGATTGATCAAAATTACAAAGTTCAGGGACAATTAACGACGAAATAGCAAAGATTAAAGTTATCAACCTCAGGATTTAAACCATAGAATAATAATTATTATGGAGTAAATTTCGGAAAATTATTATCCATATTTCTAAATATTACAGTTAGATTATATCCACAAATATATATCGAAATGTCAAGTAATTTCTGGTTTGTTTTTATTATAAAATACTTAAATATTTTGCAGTGACTCGATAAACCTGATCACGCTCAGTGCCTATGTCTTTTCATAGAAATATCAACCCTTTTTCCTGTCCTCACATTACCACATCAACTATTTTTCCTGTTCTGTGGTATCAACGCTATCTGTGAAGATTTTATTTTGAAGACATCAAAATTAAAGTCTAGCTGACTTTAGCAAAGATTTGGAAGATATTTAATTAAGTTCTAAAATAAAATATTATTTAAAATTTGTGTAATTGTGCACGTTCAAAATAAAATTGTTAACTTACAAGATACTTTGAACAGCACAACTAAGTTTGCTCTAATTTTAAAATAGTAACTGAATATTATATAAAAAAAGGTTTGAAAACCACTGAAGAAATTAGAAGACGTGCCGTAACACGAGCGAGCCTATCGATTCAAAATGTTTATCGCGCGATAGTCAAACTATGATGTGCGATAACTTTAATTAAGTATGATTTAATACATATTAATTAAAATATTTATATCCTTATAAAAGATATCCGATAGTTAGTATAAAAACAGAATATGTCAGCGATGTTTTATCTCGGGCATGTCCACTGATATCTATTTTCCAAGAAATATAATATTCTCGGTCAAAATGACGAAATTAAAGCTAAAAATTGTGTCAATATTCCATAAATGTTAATTGACCCAAAGAACCTTCAAGACTACTTTTTATGAATATTATTATATATCAGAAAAATCACAATAACATCGCTTAAAATATAAACTTTTCGGTATACAGATTAAATTTATTAATTTTTTATTACTTATTACGATAATTAGATATACTCGTTTGAAATCAGAGTTTAATAATTATTTATTTTCACAAATTCACCAGTTTTAGTCTCCAAATGAACTATGCTGTCTTAGCTATTTTACGTCTGTTAACATCGTAGGTATGCACTTACATGCAAGATTTGTGCCGAGAAAACAAACATTTTAATTATTATTTTAAATTATCGAAACTCTGTACAGTCTCGTTTTCCTTATTTTTTACATACCGCTGACTGACAGTAATAAACATAAGCCGAAACCATTAAAGGATATATGCAGATTTATCATACCCAATTATGAATGCATTACAATAAAAAAGGACGAAACTTCATCGCTTCTCCCATTAATTTAAGGCACTTCCATCACCGATTTGTATGTCTCAACACTTCAGGGTGTGACCACCCGTCGCGAAGGCTTAACGTATTTTGGCTGACGTAACGTGCACGCCATAGAGTTGCGTGTAATGGACGAAAGTGAGAGACTAAGTCAATCTATTTCTAAGTATACGCACCTCAAATACTCATAACAAAATAAAAGTTATTGGCAATTTGTGTCTATTGTCACAGATAAGAAAAATATCCACATTCTTTCTAAATGCCAAATTTTGTGTTTCTGTGGATTTATTTAACTTAGATATGTTTATTAATAGTGGCTTTAATATTTTTTCCCAGAAAATTGAATTACGAATCCATAGTTATTTTTTAAGATGCCAGTACGTCTAAGAAGTCGTACCTACTGGCATCATAAAAAATAACTATGCATTCTCCAAATAATATATTCACAAAAGTTATTAGCAAAAGTTTGTGAAGTAGCTATAAAACATTTAGAGTTTTGAGTCTTTGTCGCATCACTGTGGCGAGTCTCTCGAAGGCGCCTCGCTAAATTATCGCTTCGAAGCGCAACCCCCGCTGTTACAAATTAAAGAATTGTTCTTTCATGTCCTTTTTGGTCCGCTTTGATTGTCCGTCGCTTAAACGTTTAACGCGCATGGATGTTTATAATGTTTTACGGTCTTCGGTTGTTAATGTTCATTATGTACGTATACAGGTTGTTATATTAAGCACGATCAGTATCTGAAACTATACGATATACGAAGGTCTGTTCTTAGGAACCATGTCATTGATTTTAGGGAAAAGAAAAACTGCATTCACAAGCTAAAAAAAACTAAGTTTAATAAAGAATTGAATTCTGCAGTGTGAGTTAAGTGGGCATTAAACGATAAGATATTTTGCAATTAAAATTATTGTCACCAACTCGTAAAAATCTTCTGAAATTTTATGTTAGCTAGGTTTTTTTCTCGTAAAGTCGTTAAAAGTGCAAGTGAAGCGACAGTATCAATGTTGAGATTATATGAAATAAGAATCTAATAAATACCTAGTCTATTAATCTGATTTGTAAAATATAATGAATATTTATTTACGTCAAAAAAAGAAAAAGACTCACAAAAACAGAATCTTTATGCTAAATCCTTTAACTGATTGATTTTGTTCGAGTATTAGGGTTAATAAGACTAAGAACAAGTACTTGGGTAAACGAATAATTTTGGCCGATAAATGGCGGCTCAACTTAAACAAGACCAACATTAATTTGTACCTGAGTGAATTCAATTTTCGTTCTACTTTATAGCATGAATCATGTTATTGTGATCTTAAAATGTAAGTCACACCTCATATTGCATACACAATAGATCGATAACAAACGTATAATGACTATCATCAGAAACATATTCTGTGAGCTTTTTTGTGAATACTATCAGCAGCACTATAACAGTTACCATGTGGTAACTATTGTGTGGAAAGAAAAGCCCGTCTTAATGTTTCAGATAGGAAATGATGGTGAATCACGCGAAACAAACATTTTAGCGCGCTCCTCAGACGGAATGGTGCTTTCGCTATCCTTTGTTGGAGAATTCTTATTTGATATTTATGTAGAAGTGATAAAAGTAATCTAAAGTGTGCCAAGGAAAAGTATTCTAACCGTCTTCAAAAGAGGAGACTCTCAATTCAGCACAATTGTTTTAAATATTTTGGTGTATATAAATTAATAATTTTCTTTTTATCTTTATTGAGTCTTAATAACAAACTTTAATTAATC